ATGTCTCGGTCCAGGACGGGTCACTGCGGGTCGGTTTTTTTTGACATCCCTATTGATGGGGATGTCGTGGAGATGTTTCGAGCTATTCCAATTCCTATCAACATGAATCGTGAAGACCCCATCATTTGAAAATGGTCCGACTTTGGAAACTTTTTTGTTCCTCTGCTTACACATCGCTAGTCCACCATGATCCCGATGAAAGTATGATTTGGATCTGGAAAGTCAGGGCATCAGAAAGAGTACGGTTCTTTGTTTGACTGGTTTGAAAAAAACCTCACAAATATGGAGAGAGTACATGAAAATATGAGACAAGACACTTCATGCCCGATCTGCAATGAAGAGGAGGAAACCATTCGCCACTTGTTATGGGATTGCAAGCTAGCGAGAGGTTGTTGGTCTAGTATGTCACTGCATTCGAACCTCAAGTGGTCATTGCATTGAAGAGTTCTTTCCGGCCATGATGACTTGAGTTGTTTCGTTCGGCCTCGAGTCTCTGCCATACATGACACCTTGAAATATCTCGACCTGGTCATGTTCTCACTAACCTAGTCGACTTGTACATTTGGTTTGGTTTTAAAGTTTCAATCATCTCCATCATCACTTGGTCATGCAACCAATCGAATTTCATCACCATGCACATCTAGTAGGGGACTAGGGGTTGTGCAACCAATCTCTCACCTCTCTACCCTCATCAATTTGCGGTCACTCAACTAAGCTTGTCACCTATATCCTATAGAGTACATTTTATAAGTTTATTTAAAAAATAGTTATGTTATTTGAACTCCATTAAGTTGAGGTCGCTCAATTACTTTTATTTTGATTATATATTTGGAATTATTTTATTATATAATCAATTGATTTATTAGTAAAAATTTAAAATCATCACACTTTGAAACTCCATTTTGGATACAAATTTTATACTCTCTCAGTTCTTTTTTAGTTGCAACAGTGAACATTTCACATTTGTCAACACATGTCTTTGACCGTAATTATATCTCAATTTTATCACTAAAAAGTATTAAAAATCAGATTTTGAAAATTTGTAACGAGATGAATTTAAACAATATTTTTTTTAAAAATAATTTTCATAAAGTAATAACGTAAAACGTAGTCAAAGCAGAACATGTGAATATTGTAAAATTCAACATGTTGCGATTAAAACAGAACGAAGGATAATATTATTTTTTCTTATAAAGTTTTTGAATACTACGTACAACAATAAATAAAATTTAGCCGCACATTAAAAGAGTTAAATGAAGCAACTATTGAAATGGTTAAAATAAGAAACTATTGATAATGAAGGATGTATTCATGTATATTGTTTTTTTAACCTTAAAAATTACAGCCAAGAATTTTTTACCTCAAAGATTATTTTGCAATATATTTTGTATTGTGTTTTTAAAATATTACCGAATCCTTTTCCAGCATTCCTCAACATACTTTTGAATTCAAGTTGAAATTTTGTATGAATGAAAACGAAATTTCAAAAAATTATGTTAGCGCCAATGAGCGCGCGGAAGCTCAAAATCAGTCAACGATCCGCGTACTACAGCACGTCTCCAATCCCGAATCACCACGTGTCCCTCACAGCAACTACAAACTGGCATTTCCAAGCCGTCGATTTAAAAGTAAATCCAATTCATTATCGACGTCCCCTATAAGCCCAGCTCATCGATCCGCGTCATTTCAATTCCTCGAATGAGCACCCATAATTGAACATCTATAAAAGGAAAAGCACGCGTACAACCTTTTCATCGCAATTCATCACTTGAGCATTTTATTCACTTTCCCCTCTCGAAACCTAAAACTCTTACTAGAAATTCCGATGGCGCCCAAGGCCGACAAAAAGCCAGCGGAGAAGAAGGTTGCCGCCGATAAACCAGCGGAGGAGAAGAAGGCCGCCGCCGCTGAGAAGACTCAGGCGGAGAAGAAGCCGAAGGCGGGGAAGAAGCTCCCCAAGGAGGGCGCCGCTGCTGCCGGCGACAAGAAGAAGAAGAGGAATAAGAAGAGCGTCGAGACCTACAAGATCTACATCTTCAAGGTTCTGAAGCAAGTTCATCCAGACATCGGAATTTCCAGCAAGGCTATGGGGATCATGAACAGTTTCATCAATGATATCTTCGAGAAGCTCGCTCAGGAGTCCTCCAGACTTGCTCGTTACAACAAGAAGCCAACCATCACTTCCAGGGAGATCCAGACGGCGGTGAGACTTGTTCTTCCCGGTGAATTGGCCAAGCACGCCGTGTCTGAGGGGACTAAGGCCGTGACCAAGTTCACGAGCTCTTAAAGTTGTTGTGTTATGATCTAGATTTCACCTGGTTCTCTTGTGATTTGAGATTAAAATTGTGCTAATAGGTCTGATAGAACTATTTGCTTTGGTATAATGTAACTATACTGTTTCTTAGATCTATCAATCGAACTAGTTTGTCTTTCTCCACTGTCTGGTACTCGTAATTTTATTGACCCTCCCCTGATTTACTGCCCTGAAAACATATGTATTGTTTAATAGCAATGGAAATCGTTTTTTGGATTTGAACTATCTTTAAACAATGGTATAATCTTTCTGGTAAACCGTATGCTATATTGAAATGGAATGTCTAAGTTTAAAATGTCCATCAAATTGTTTAGACGTTTGAGTAAGATGGTTGAATGCACTTGTTCTTCTGAGATGTCAGAGACACAGAGATGAATCATCTGATTTCATACAGAAATTGCTGTTTGAAAGAAGACACCTAGAAGAAAAAAGCATGTGTAAGAGAAACGAAATCACAGTTATTAGGTTTATAGATACTCTTAAGTTTCAAGTATTTTTGGGATTTCAAATTTTTCTGCATTTGATTAAGGGGTGTCCTCAACCTAGATTTTGAAGGACTTTTTAAATTCAAGATACATAGCCGAGTCCAAACTTCTTCTTCATCCTTGTGCTCTTACTTCATCATCGACAACCAGCAGGCTCGTACTTCTCCAACGAGCTGAACGATGGAGGTCTGATTTCGAGCTTTGGTTGCTCTAACTCTACTACTGTCACAGCAGCAGAGTCACCGGAATGTTTTCCAGCCAAGTAGGCTCTTAAAGATGTTGAAAAGTGATGATCGGATGAGCTTTGTGAAGTAGCGGTCCTGTCTGGGAAGCTAAGGTCTGGTAGCAGATCTTAAGATCCAGTCTCTGTATTGAAATATGGAATCTTTGTGTGCACATCCATTGCAAAAAAGAAAGCAGCCATCGGCCTTCATTGGAATCTGATAAAATTCCATTAAATCTGATAGTTTCTTTGCAAAACTTTTACGTAATAATATCCCTGAAATTTAATATCTTAAAAAATCCTTCAAAATATAGGTAGGGGAAGGAGAGAATAATATCCCTGATAAAATTCCATTAAATCTGATAGATTCTTTGCAAAACTTTTACGTAATAATATCCCTGAAATTTAATATCCTTCAAAATAGTGACATAGTGACACCCTTAGAAATTGATACAGAGTATTGTTTTTGTTGGGTGTTACTTAGATATGGACTCGGGCCGGGTGGCCCGACCTGGAACCGGCCCGGGACCGATACTGTTCCGGCCCGACCCGACCCGGTGGCCCGGTCAGTGACCGGTCCGGGTAGGCCCGGCCCGTGGGTTTTCCGGTCCGGGCTCGGGTCACCCAAAACAAGGCCCGGTTCGGGCCAATTTTTTTTTTTCCAATTTTTTTTTAACTTTTCAGGTTGGGCTGGGTATTTTGGGCCATTTGGGGTGGTTTGGGGGGTTGGGGGTGGGAGGGGGGCTAATTAGGAAGAGGAAAACAAAAAAAAAATATATAATGGGCCCGGCCCGGCCCGGACTCGGACCGGACCCGGTGGTTACCCGGGCCGGTCCCGGGCCCACCATTTCTGACCCGCCGGCCCACCCGGGCCTAGGCCCGACCCGGACCCGGCCCGGACCCGAGTCCAACCCTAGTGTTACTATCTCCGTCTCACTTATATTGAGACAGAAGAAGGTGACACGGTTATTAAGAAAAGTAGGTTCATGTGGTTGATATTGAATTGATAAAGTAAGAATGATTAAGAGTCACAAAAACTTTAACAAATATGATATGAGATAATCTTAGTGGGATATCCCGAAAAGGTAAAACGGGACAATCTTACCAAGACGGAGGGAGTATAATTTAAAACTAGACATGTTATTTTCTTACTACAAATGATGGGATTATTACTCCTAAATATCACACTTCCCAATTCTCTTTGTTTTTCACCGTTTGGTCATGCTTCATAGGGATGGACTCGGGCAAGGTCAACCGGCCCGGTCCGGTACTGTTTCGGCCCGATCCGGTACTGTTTCGGCCCGGTCCGGACCAGTATCCGGGTCCGTGCCCGGTTCAGGCCACCCGGCCCGGTACTATTTCGGGGCGGGCTCCGGGTCTCAAAAATATGCATCGGCCCGATTGGGCCCGGTTCGGGCCGATTTTTTTTTTTAATTTTTCAAATTCTTTAAAAGGTAAATGAGTTGGGCCGAGTGTTTTAGAGGGGTTTGGGGTGTGGGGGTAGGAAGTAATTAGAAAATAAAAAAAATAATGTACCCGGCCCGACCCGGCCAGGGTCCGACCCGGACCCGGTAGGTACCCGGGCCGGTTTCGGGCCTCGAGAAACCAAAAAAAGTCCGGTCAGGCTCGGCCCGAGTCCAAGTCTAATGATGCTTCATTGCAGTATCGGAAATCCGGACAAAAATCTGATTTGGTTGGACATACAATCGTATTTGATAAGTTCAACAAAATAAATTCAAATTAAAATGAGCCTGTAGAGCAAAATAGTTTCTTCCAGCTTGTTTTGAATTAAACTTTACAGAACATACAAAAAACACCAAAATGTGGATGAAATTTTGGCCAAAATATATGATGGGTTGGTTATACGGTAATTGAAAAGCAGTTACACATTTCCTCTTCTTTTGTTCCCCCAATTCCCTCACCCATCTCATTCGATCTATAACTACCCAAGAGCATCATAATAGCTCGATCCACACAACATATGAGTGAGATTCATTCATTCATTCATTCAAACCAATGTCTCTAACATTGCTTCATCCCACTGTCATGAGGCTATTCTCCACAACATGGCCGCTATTGCTCTATGCCACTGTCTGGTCCCTTCTTCTCCTCATCACCGTCGGAACCGCTTCTTCTCTGGCTCAGCTTGCTTACGTATCAGTTGTCTCTCCTTCCCCTTCATCTTCTTGCGGACCCGGATTCCTCAAGGTGCCTCTGGACGTTCCCTCGGAGAAGTTTTGCTTGCCGATTCACATGATGAAGACGTCCGATTGGGATTTCGTCGTGCCAATCGTCTTTGCTGCTCTTCTTGTGTCCACTTCTGCGTTCATGATCCGCAGCTTAGGTTTCTGGGAAATAGAAAGTGATGGTTAACTGAATAACTGCTCCTATGATGTTCTGCCATTTTTCCCGCTTTCTAAATTAATATGCCTTCGATTATCTTGAAAAACGGTTACAACATAGTTATTGGAACATTGGTGCATTACTCTTCTGATTGAATTTGACCAAGAAAGAACATAAAAACAGCATGAGTGAAGGAAGCAATTTAGAACACTTTTAACGTTTACTACAAATGAAAAACACACACATTTTTTGTTCTAATGCTTAAGTTAAAATTATTGCAACTTTTTCTTCGTTACACTTAACTTCTATGATATGATTTGCTTCTATCGATTGTTCTGCTCATTTTGTGGTCTTTTATATTTGGTCCTTGAAGGCACATAATGTTTTGCCTTAAATTTTCACGAATGCATCAATTTATGTGATTGATACAGATGGCTAAGATAATTGTTAAGAGTATATTCAATTAAGATTGATGACACGTATATACATATAACTCTTGAAAAAGTGATATAACATCTTTGATATTAACTCTTGAAAAAGTGACGGAGTTGCGAGTTCAATTAAGATTGATGACACGTATATACATATAATCAGGGACAATTTAAAATAAGACATTAGTGATATTCAAGTGAACAAAGATTTCCCATTAATTTGATTGTAGATCTCGCACTAAGGATGTTTTACTAAAGATGCTTTCAGTCCCAGACATGGATGGATTTAAGGGGGGGGGGGGGGGGGGGGGGGGGACCGTCCCCTTGGACTTTCAATCAAAATTTTCTATTGTATATGTAATATTTTCGTAAAATTTTCATACTTTAATTAGATTCTCCCCCCTTAACTTTTATTTTTAAAAATTAATATATAATCTTACATAATGTAACACTTAATTAAATATTTAAAAGAAGAAACATCTAAAATAATTTACATAACTTAAATAAATAAACAATAGAACAACTCATTGTTAAAGATTTAAGATACTTACTATATAAAAATTCTTAGTTTTGTAATGTTTAATTATCTTTATTAGATAACTAGTAAACAATGTTGTAATATATATATTAAACAATATTAAATACCAGACAAACTAGTTACACAGTCATTAGATCATGTGAAGCGAATCCAACTTATAAATGTTTATTGAATTAAATTACATAATTCATTTACTTCTTACGTTTTTAAAAGACTTTATTGCATAGATAATAAACTTTAGTTATTTGAGCAAATATAATATGCACTATATATTATATATATATATGAATTAACAATATAATATTATTCTAAAAACAATAATCTCATACATACTATTGTAATATTAAGAAAACCCCTTGTGACTCATGAACACCCTCCTTGGTAGACAAAAATTGTAATTCAAAAACCAATTCTTTATTTCTATAAGATTCATGTAGTTAAACAATGTTCAAGTTATTTTAAAAGTATTGATTAATGTGTACCTTATAAACTCTATCTTTAAGAGGAAGCGGTCCAGCTTAGCTGGTCACCGACTCACTCTCCCTTACGGGAGGTCTCGGTTCGAAACTCAATGGAGTGAGTTTCAGCCCTGATTACTCTAGGTCACCCAGACCCCCTCCTCAGACGCCCCCTGGAGTTAAAAAAACTATTAAAAAAACTCTTTATCTTTAAATAAAATGTTATATATCCTTTTTTATTTTCAAATTATTTTTCTTTGATTTGCCATTTCTTACGCTTTAATGTAACAATACTTTTTTCTAGAGCACTCCAATTATAAAATTAAAGTTATTTTGTCATTGTCTAAACTTAGAATGTAATATATATATTTAAATATCATCATGTATGTATTAATGAATTCTTTTGACTAAATATAGCCGCAAAGGCTTACCCTAGTGACAAATTTTTGCCCCGCTACACTAGCAAAAAAAATTCATCCCGAATACTAGTGATTTTTTTTAACCTCCTACACTAACAAAAATTTTCGCCCCCCTTGACTAGAAATTCTGGATCCGTCTCTGGTCCCAGATCATACCAGACCAGATCAGACCAGGCTTGAATAATTATAAAATACATAGAGACCAAACATTTAGCAAATCAGACCAGATCAGTTTAAACCAAACCAGAAAATTTCAATCCAAGTAAAAACATGTTAATGAACCACTTGTTTATTTCAAGGAATAGAGTAGAATACTACTCCGTAGAATATATCAATTGTGTAATGAAAGTTACACGTGTTTTAAATATCATGATTATTGTATTACGTCGTATAAAATGATGCCGATGAACGTAGCTCAACTGGTAGATAGATGGTAGCACAAGAGTTAAATTTCGACTTCGAATCTTGACAACCATAAGTACGAAGGTTAGAGCTACACTTTTAATCTGACAGCTTGTGGTTAAAACTCAGAGGTAGTTGGGCCCTCCGAGGTAGGGTGTTGTTTTTGTATTACAGAATGGTGTGCTAAGAATTGGCAAGATTTACTTACAAAACCGCTTAATGAGTCATTTAATAATTTGTTAATATTAATCTCACATTCTTTTAGATTAGTATTAATTTTCTCTCCTTTCAATCGTCCTATTTGCAATTGTAGAAAGCAGTTTTATTGCCTTACTCTCTTTATTTCATAGGTTGCTGGATTGAGACTTTGAGTGATAAAGTGACTACACAATATATTCCAATGGGAAGCACGTAGCTAGATAATTTACAAAAACTCGATGCCAATCCTTAGATGCTATCATGCTATCCTCAAAGTTAGTTCAATACTTCTATATACTAGCACCATTTAGTTATTTGTTATAACTTTCTTCACGATTGTTTCTTTCAAAAAAATAATTCGTTTTTGTTGTATTCTTATTCATCTATATTTTTATTTAATTTCCTAAAAAATGTTTATGGTATAATCCGTATTATGAGTTCGTATACCGTACAACCGACTGTACGGTAAACAACGTACAATCGGTGACATTTTGATAATTGAAATGAAATTCGTGGTTTTCGCTAAATGAGCATTAATGCAGTTTTAGTGAGTATCTGACTTATTCTGTTGAATATTGGAAGCCTAACAATGAGCATCATGAGGTCTGCTTCATATCTTCTCATTCACTTTCTTTTTCTTATTTTTCTTTTATAAAAACTTATTAAATTATATTTATAATCAACGCCTATGAATTTCAATATGTGAATATACTGTAATCTGATACTTTTAAAATATGCATTGATATTATATTTTAAAAATAAACGTAACATGAGTACCAATTGACATATGTAACTTCAAAATGAGCATTGATGTGAAAATCATAAGTTTTTTTATTTGAGTACCATGACATTTTTTTGAGCATAAAATCTCTTCTATTGAGTATTAGAAACATGCAATTAAGTATCATGATCTATGCTCCCGTATCTATAATCAACTCCTACGTGAATCTAATTTAATATGATACCTTTCACATATGCGTTGATATAACATTTTAAAATGAGCATAACATCAATACAGAATAAGTATACATTAGTCATCAAATGAACAATGATATAAAAAGCACAAGCTTTGTTAGTTAAGCATTAAGACATTTTCAATGAACATCAAACATCATCTATTGAGTATTTGAAGCATGCAAATGAGTATCATGATCTCTGGTTTTATGTACATAATCCGACTCTTATGCGAATCTAATATGATACTCTTAAGTATGCATTTATATGACATTTTAAATTGAGTATAAACCGAGTACCATATGAACATCGTAATTGACAAAATGAGCATCGAAAAATTCAAAAACTTGATATAATTCTCTAATGTGTTCAAATGTTCATTTGTGCAGATATAATGACAAATATAGTAATGAAAAATATAGTAATGTTATATTAAAAATAATTTAGTGTTTCGTTCTCGAATTACAAATATAATCAAGTTGTTTTTATAATGTTTACTCATGAATACTTATTTTACACTATACACATTTTAGTATAATACAAAACTCGTGTTAGTAATTAACATACAATATTTAATAAACTAATAAATATCCATTTTAAATTAAAAATAGAAAAACAAAACATTAATACCTAAAATATTTTATAATAACCACATCTAAGTATTGCCCTGAAAGTTGTAACAAATTACAAAAATACAGACTCTACCATAACTTTGGTACATCCCATTGTACCATATAATTTACCTCATATTATAGTTGTTCATTTTCCTTTTAAATAGTACTCCCTCCATCCTGAATCGATGGTCATATATACCTTTTGAGTTCAAATATTAGGAAAATGAGTTCAAATAGAGTGACTCATATAACCATACTTTATTGCATGTTCATTCATTTACTTTTACTGTTCATAAAAAGTAGGGGTATGAATGGAAATCTACTTTAATTTCATTACAAAAAAGGGAAATAAGATCATCATTTTTGAACAGCCCAAATAGAAAATACAGGACCATCATTTTGAGACGAAGAGAGTACTATGTATTCGTTTTATCGTTTATGTACGTTGAATCTACTTCTTAGTGAGTTCCCATGTGCAAAATAGAGAGAATAAGTTAAAGTAAATGAGAATACATGTCACTTAACTAGTGAGTCCACATCTAAAATGTGAAAGTAGTAAGAGAAAACTTAGTGTCCTAATTATAAAAATGAAATTTAGCTATTTAAGTTATATAAATAATTAACAGAAAAGCAATTACGGGGTATAATTCATAACAAAAAGCTAGCAAAAGTGATAAATATATACAATGGGACAGTTTTGTCAATAAGGGTCCATAGCTCAGTGGTAGAGCATTTGACTGCAGATCAAGAGGTCACCGGTTCGAACCCGGTTGGGCCCTTTTGTTTTCTAAGTTTTCTTTTTTAGCAGGCAATGTTTTCGACCAGCGTTTGAAGTTGAGAAAAGTCGAAAAAGGGCAAAAATAAATGGCGTCGCCCGGGTTCGAACCGGAGACCTTCAGTGTGTTAGACTGACGTGATAACCAACTACACCACGACACCTTGTTGTCATGGTTTGTGGTTTGCATTTAATTATATATATCTATGTTTACACTTTAGGACGGCTCGATTTCTGAATATCTTTTACGGAGTATCTGTTTCCGTCAGTCCATCTTTTTTCTGTGTGAGGGTGGAAGTCTGG